CCCCCCCCCCCCCTCTTATATCTTATATCTTAACGAAGATATAAGATAAATTTATTATTTATGCAATCTTTATGATTTTAGTTTCTAGTCTTTTGTCCTATTAATTTCATATATCTGCATCCGTGCAGGAATAATGGAAAATAATCATGAGCTAACTCCTTTGGAAAAGCATGTCATGTTCTTTGATATCAATAATGATGGAATAATTTACCCTTCAGAATCATACCAAGGTTTTTCCTTCTTTTCTTTAATTCCCAAATGTTGATTTCACCTTTTTTTAATATATGTTTTTGTCTTTCTTGATTTGTCCTAAATATTTTCGGATTTATTATCAGCTTTTAGAAAGATGGGGCGTGGTATTTTCCGGTCTATGTTTGCTGCTGTCCTCGTTCATATTACTCTCAGTCACAAGACACGACCGGTAATTCAAAATGCTCTATTTCTTTGAAAATGCCACAACTTAATTTCCATATTAGTGGTTTTGCTACATCTTTTGCGCTCTATAATTAAATGGTTTAATAGGACATACAATATAATTTTGAGAAATTTCATACTCCCTCCCCTCCAATTTATGTGAACCTATTTGATTGGGCACGAAATTTAAGAAAAAAAATAAAGACTTTTAAAATTTGTGGTTCTATATAAGACATAATATTTGTGTGGCTATATAATTTTTTGATACTTGGGGTGTTAAACATATCAAAGTATTTATTTGTCTATAAAAGCTTCTCATCGATAATATAATTGAAAGTTTAAGTTAAATTATTTCTAAATCCAGAAAGGAGTCAATTTTTTTGGAATAATTCATTCTTTTTGGAACGGGTTAAAAAGAAAATATGTTCTCATAAACTCGAAGAAATATATCAAGCACAATCTTTTTGCAAGCACGTAGATTATGATGTTTAATGCTGCTTTTTCACAAGCAAGAAAGCAATTAATTTGTCTTGTTTCAAAGAGTTTCTACTGGGCTGGAAATTGATTAGTAATATATTATTTTTGTGTTACATAATTAGGGAAAATGCCCGTCTCTGTTCTTCCCCATTGTGGTAAAAAATATCAAATATGCCATACATGGCAGCGATTCTGGTGCCTATGACTCTGAAGGGAGGTAAATTTCTTGACTACCTTATAACTAAATTCTGGTTGCTATAGGCGAAGTCACTATACACATATGCAGATCTCGGATTTAAATTTGATGGTTTTAACTTTTAAAGTTTTAAACTTTAAATTTATTATAATTTTGAAATTATTGGTTCAAGATTTACTATTTATAAAAATTTTTTAGTAATTTTTCAATATATATCTATGCTTCTTGTAAAAAATATATTGGGTGCGGTTGAACTCAATATATATCTATTATTATTTTTTTTTTTTTTTTTATATAAATAGATTACAAAGGTCACAATTACAACAATGACATGGGTTGCCTCCCACGTAGCGCCTGATTTAACGTCGCGGCACGACTCATGTGAGCGAAATTAAGGTTCACTCGACCTCTGGGGTTCATTCGAATGCAGCTCGGTCATCTCCTTAGGCTCGTTCATGCCCACATACAATTTCAACCGCTGACCATTGACTCTAAATGTACGAGAGTCATCTTCAGTAGAAACTTCCACCGCTCCGGAAGGAAACACTTCAACCACACGAAATGGTCCAGACCACCTTGACTTTAGCTTACCTGAGAATAACCGCAGTCTTGAGTTGTAAAGCAGTACCCTGTCCCCAGGTTTGAAATTTCGTTCAATGATGTTCTGATCGTGAAGCCTTTTCATTCTTTCTTTATATAGTCTTGTGCTCTCAAAGGCAAGATACCGGAACTCCTCTAGCTCATGTAATTCTGTGGCTCTCGACGTGCCCGCAGCTTCCAAGTCTAAATTCAGCTGTTTCAGTGCCCACCACGCTTTATGTTCCAGTTCTACAGGTAGGTGACAAGCCTTCCCAAACACCAACTTATATGGTGACATACCAATTGGTGTCTTGAATGCTTTCCTGTAGGCCCATAGCGCATCATCCAGCTTCTTTGACCAGTCAATTCTTGTAGCATTTAGAGTTTTTGTCAATACGCTCTTTATCTCTCTGTTGGAAACCTCAACCTGTCCACTGGTCTGTGGGTGGTACGGAGTAGCCACCTTGTGGCGCACATCATATTTAGCCAACAACTTCTCGAAGGCCCGGTTGCAGAAATGAGTTCCTCCATCGCTAATAATTGCACGCGGTGTCCCAAAGCGGGTGAATATGTTCTTCTTTAGAAACCCGACTACCACCTTAGCATCATTGGTGGGTAATGCGGCAGCTTCCACCCACTTGGACACGTAATCTACAGCCACAAGAATGTATTTATTGCCATAGGAGCTGACGAAGGAACCCATGAAATCTATCCCCCAAACATCAAACACTTCCACTTCTTGAACTGGGTTCATGGGCATCTCGTGACGCCGGGAAATGTTCCCGGTGCGTTGACATTCATTACAGCTCTTGACCCATAAGTGAGCATCTTTAAATACCGTTGGCCAGAAAAATCCGGCCTCTAGCACCTTAGCTGCCGTCCTGATGCCTCCAAAGTGACCGCCATACGCTGAAGCGTGACAAGCCTGCAAGACAGAAGATTGTTCGATCTCGGGGACGCATCTCCGGATCATGTTATCAAGGCATATTCTAAACAAGTAGGGCTCTTCCCAGTAATACCATTGGCTTTCGCGAAAGAATCTCTTCCTCTGGACCGATGACAGGTCGTGAGGAACAATACCGCTGGCCAGGTAATTAGCATAGTCTGCATACCAAGGCGCTTCCTGATGAGTGGTAACGAGCAGCTGCTCATCTGGAAAGGTTTCCAGAATTTCCTCCACTCCTACTACATTTTCAGCTCCTTCAAGTCGTGATAGGTGATCAGCGACTTGATTTGCAGTGCCCTTGCGGTCACGAATTTCAAGATCGAACTCTTGCAGTAGCAACACCCAACGAATCAGGCATGGCTTAGAGTCCTTCTTTTCTATTAAGTATCTAAGAGTTGCATGGTCAGAGTATACGATTACCTTGGATCCTATTAGATAGGACCGAAACTTGTCAAAAGCAAATACCACAGCTGGCATCTCCTTCTCTGTCACTGTGTAGTTCAACTGGGCTCCACTCAGCGTCCTACTAGCATAGTAGATTGGGTGCATCAGTTTGTCCTTCCGCTGGCCCAGCACTGCCCCCACCGCGTAGTCACTGGCATCACACATCAATTCGAACGGTTGCTCCCAGTCAGGGGCAACGATTATGGGTGCTGTGACCAGCCTTTGCTTCAACTCCTCAAAAGCAACCCTGCAATCATTAGAAAATACAAAAGGGTGATCTTTCTCTAACAACTTACAGAGAGGGTTGGCAATTTTGGAGAAGTCCTTAATGAACCTCCGGTAGAATCTGGCATGTCCAAGAAAGCTCCTTATAGCTTTGACTGAAGTTGGCGGCGGCAGCTTTGCTATGACATCAACCTTTGCTCTATCCACCTCTATCCTTTGCTTGACACCCGGT